CAAAAATGTGCAGGGGCGCCATCATGTTGAAAAAACATATTTTCTTGAAACTGCTGGCGCACATCCAATGATATTATATCCATGAGCTCATTCTGAAGAAAGTTCAGATACACGTCTGAATTAAGACGATTGGGAAGTACAATAGACCCAATTACTTGATCCCCAATTACTCCTGCCCATAAGTTCAATGAAAATCTATGTTGGAAATTTGTACGGCGAACAACTTTTGGATTTTCATCTGACCAGTGATGCATGTTATGGAAATTAAAAGCACCATTCCTATTAAATATTGACTCATCCGACCATAATATTCTAGGAATAGTGTTTTCATCTGCTAATATCCACTGGCAAAACTCGATTCGTGGTAAAAAATCTGCCTCCGTTAAATGCTGCACCCGTTTAAATTGATAAGGATGTAATCGTTGCATTCTTGTCATTCTTCCTATCTAAAATTATTATTTTTAGGATAACTATCAAATATATAGGTATTCATAAATTTTCCTTACTATTGATTGAGGTATATCCATAATTTCTGAAACATTTCGTATGCTTATTTGCGGATTATTTTCAAACATATTTAAAGCAATATCCATACGATCATTTCTAACTATGTATAATCAACAATTCATTTACATTCGCAGTACATTTCCTATCATGTGACAAATTTTTTAATTTGATTTTATTCAAACATGGCACAATTTATCGATATTCAATAAAAGTACCTTTTTATGTAGAAAACCCTAAATTTTTAAATTGTAAAATTGAATTTCAAAAATAGAATCACACAAAAATTTTGGGGCTAAAATATCCTGAGTCCGTCCCTGTTACATACGCTTCCAAACAAAACTGTCTAAAATTATTAATATTTTTATATCCAGCATAAAAAACTAGGCTAGAATACCAAATTTTATGTCGTTATCTCAACACGTTTCGGAAATATTAAGGAAAAACCATCCTCAGGGGAACCCCTTTAAAAGACCGTAGCGCCCTTAGGGGACGTTTGTCGACCTGTATTTATATAAATTTTTCTTCCTATTTTAAGCTCTAGAAACCGCTGGTAGAATATTGTACACTTTTTTCGGGACACCCTGTATAATTAATCCAATGGGTCAAATGACAGATTACTTTTTCTATGGGAGTGAAATTCGACTTTCAACTTAGGGGTACACTTTAGGATCATTTTACTGATGCCTGAAAGGCTATCATTAGTGTGATAACCCAAAGTAAACCCAAACTTATAGGCCGATCATCTATTTTTTGGAATGGATGTAATTCACAAGCCTAACAGAACCGGGGCGACCTATAATACTGATCATTTTTCTAGAACACTTTTTAAATGTTTTCGGTTAAATTGAGTGCGCTGGTTAGAAAAACACAACGTTGTTTAAGCAGCTCTAGTTTGAAATTTTTATGAAAACTGCAATAGTATATCTTTTACAGTTGCCGAGGCTGAGGAAAAATGTTTTTATAAGATTTTCTTGACTGAGGTGCCTGTTTTAGATCCAGGCGGAGATTTCAGCACTAATCAGGGTAATAAGTAGATTCCTCTGTTATACAGGGTGGCCGATATGTAACTGACTGGTTTGTACCATGAATATTTGTAAGACGAAATAAAATACGTCAATTTTTTTCATCTTAATATTTTATTGAAACTTGGAAATTATGCATGAAAAATAGTATCAGACAAATGTCCGCCTCTAGAAGCCGCGCAAACCTGAGCCCTCTTGATCACATTTTCCATCCCTTTTTGGTAGGTTTCGGGAGCGACATTCTCAATCGCTTCCGTAATATTGTTCTTCAGCTATATGGTTTGCTGGCATAAACCCTATTTCTCAAAAATCATCATAAAAAAGTCAGGGGCCGTTAAATCCGGTGACCTTGGTGGCCAATTGACATCACCAAATCGAGAAATTAAACGTCCCGTAAATATTGTTCGCTAAAGATTCATTGTCTCCCTAGCTATGTGACAAGTTGCTCCGTTCTGCTGGAACCACATGTTTTGCAGGTTTAATTGTTGGATTTGAGGGCCAGTTCTTGAGAACCATGTCTGGTAGACGTCTCAGGGCGCTCCACTACACTTTGACGAACTCTCTCGATATTTTCCGGAGTACGAACAGTTCGAACACGGCCCGATGTTGGCAAGTCTTTAACTTCACCTGTTTGTTCAAATTTCTGCACCATCTGACGAATGGTGTTGATACTGGGCACATTATCTCGACCGAAATCTTGTCGTAGCTGCCGAATCGTTGCAAGAATCGACTAATTATTTAAGTAAAATGTTTTAACAATACGGACACGTTGTGGGATCGTGTAGCGCTCCAAGATGAATTGGACACATGTACTTTAAACAACTAGTATGGTGCCACCTACTGAGTTGCGTGTATCAAAAATGGCGCGCAATTTAAATCAGTCAGTTATATATTGGCCACCCTGTATATGTCCGTACTTAACTTTTTTACTTGTGCCGAATACAATACTTGACGTATCTAAAACACTCTTCAATTAAATTTTTGAACAAAAGCTACTTCTTCACTAAACCAATTTGTGAATGCTTTGATTGATGAGTACGGTCCTGCTCTAATGGTCATTATAGTTAGCGTACGAAGTACGAGGCGACACTCTAAACCCTTTTATGTCATTTGCATGCCATGAGAATTGATTTTTCCGGTGAAAAATGATAGTAGCCTAGACACTGGCTAGTAAAAATAATAAACGAGTATGTACGTTTCCTTGATATATACAATATAATGCCGAAGCGGGTAAGCTGTAAAATGAATACAACTTTGACAATGATGAAAATGGAATTAGTTGCTGGATAATTTTTTTATATTTCCATCACATGTAGAAAAAGGAAAGTATTTTCATCGGAAAAATGAAGACATGTAAAGGGTGTAATGAGAGCGCCGGACACGATTGTCAAGAAAAACACAATTTCTTTTCGAATTAAGCGAGTATTTATATTTCAACGGGAAGAGAAGTAGTTGCGATTAAACATGACCTCTGGCACAGGGTCAGTCTTTTCTTAAAATTCTGGATAACGTTTTCGCACAACGGTGGTTCTATTTCGTCGATAGCGCGCCGTATCTCTTCTTTAAGGCGTTCAACTGTTTGTGGCTTGTTCGCATACATCTTTTCCTTCACATAGCCCCAGAGGAAGAAGTCCATTGGCGTTAGATCGCACGATCCTGGTGGGCAATTTTGATCACCAAACGGAGATTTGACACGGTCTGGAAAGTTGGTCCGCAGAAACACCATTGTTTCGCGTGCTGTGTGGCAGGTCGCACCGTCTTGTTGGAAGAACATATCCTCCACATCAATTCGATCCAACTGGGGCCACAAAAAGTCGGTTAAAAATTCGCGATTAACAGTTACCGCAGTTCCAGCTGCATTTTCAAAGAAATACGGTCCAGGCAGCAGCGGTGGCCGCAGTAGTAGACTCTTCGGTCTCCTGATCAGTCGCCGTGCGCTGTGCGGGTTCGAGTCCCGTCCCAGGAGAAATTTTTCTCTTGGCTATGGATGTTGTGATTGTCCGTAGGTGGTAGACGGTCTCTGACTGTCGAACGTGGAGGTACCACCCGGCGGATCTCGTAGGCGGAGCCAGAATGTGTGCATGTTGCATGCCCACGTGTTCCCTCGCCACAGTCCGTGTGGCGTTCCCCCTTTTTCCTGTATCCCCCTATAGCCCGACGGTACCCAATGGGCGTTTAGGCCTTCGTGGTAGTTGGAGTATAAAAAAAATCCCTCCGCCACTCCACAATGCGCACCAAAAGGTAACTCGCGGCGGATGCATTGTTCGATTATTACACGAAGGTTTTCAGAACCCCAAATTTGGCAGTTCTGCTTATTGGCGTACCCGTTCAGTTGGAAATGTGCCTCATCAGAGAAAATATTTTTTTTCGAGAAACCCGCATCAATTTGGTGATGCTCCAGTGCCCAATCAACGAATTCACGACGCTGCACATGGTCCGTTGGCTTGAGTTCTTGCGTCAGTTGAACCTTGTACGCATGCAAGCACAGATCTTTTGTCAATATACGTTGCAGATTGGGTCTGGTAAGGTGCAATTCTTGGCCACGATGTCGATTGGAAGTGCCTGGATTCTCGGCTACACTTTTACGCATTGCGACTATATTTTGGAGGGATCGACCAGGACGGCGACGAACAGTGGTCTTCACATTCAGCAACGTGAAACTTGTCTGATATTTTGTAATTAAACGGCGAACTGTCGACTCATTTGGCGCATGATTGCGATCGAAAATTGAATACTGCTCCATGCAAAATGGCAAATTCAAATCCGGCGCTTTTGACACCCTTTATATTGGCTCGGTGTTTCCCACGCAATGATATAGATTTATCAAAAATTTCAATTTTTTTTAACTCCTAAAGCTATTTTCGATGCGCCACCAAAAAGTTGAAAAATGTGCCTTTTCAAATAATTTTACTCCCTCTAATAATTTGTTTGGCGATGCTGTAAAATTGCCAGAAAAACGAAAAATATTGGAAAATCGATTTTGAGACGTTCTGACATTTTTAATTTTTAGTTTTAGCTCATAATTCGAATGTCACTGGATATATTTTCAAGAAGTTTTAGCTACTTGTTCTTAAATTTCATAAGCATAAGCATACCATAGAGAAGCCAAATATTACCGGACAGGTAGGTCAACAGTCATGAGTGACATGATTTTCTGTGACGTACATAAATCATGTAACATCCAAAAAACAATACCTGGATTTCAAAATATACTCAGTGACATTAGAAGTGTTATAGGTACCCAGAAAAAATAATTTCCGCAACTTGTTTTCCAGACGTGCAAATTTTCACCATGTTAGCCACTTTGACAAGGGTAGAATTATTGACTATCGAGATGAAGAAGAAAGCCTACTGGTCCATCGAGGCGTACCATAGAGCATCAAGATAGGCACCCTTTGCAACTACGCGTCAGATTGCTGACCAGTGGCTCGGAGAAGAAGGTAGACCTGTCATTATGCGTACACTCTATCCCAGTGTTGCCAGACGAATTCTGCTAAAAATCCCTAACATTCTATTTTTTTTCCCCTAGAATTCCCTAGATTTTTATTTTCTAAGTCTACCCTGTTTTTTCTGTCTACTCGCCACTCCCAATTTTTTCTGTATTACGTATTGAATTCATAATATGGTTTAAAAAAAATATATTAAAAATTACATTTAATGATAAAACTTTATTAGATTAAAAAACGGAATTTTCTTAATTATCTAACTTAAAATAATACATTACTTGCCACTAATCTTTTGAGTACAACTTTTTTTGGCTCATTAGTTTAAGATGCTCACCAGTTACTTTAAATGACTGGCAGCAATTATCAGACGAAAATCTTGTAACACATACGGCATTTAATGATTCACTTCCTATTTTGTTTCTTTTTTTTGTTTTCGTAGAGGGTTGATCCCTACGATTTTAAAAATATATCAGCTATTGATTACTTATAATATATTATGCAACTTACATTTGATCAGAATTTTCTGCTGTATCGGACTCCATCATCACAAAACTAAACTTAAAAACTTTGAACAAAGATTCTCTCAAAAACGTCGGGTCACACTTTAATATTGAACTGGGTATGCGTAATACAGTCGTCGGTGGCGGCAGGTGGCGGAGAACTTATCGGTGATTCACACAGAAGATGTACAGTACAACCAACCTTATAATTAGCAAAGCTGTATACTGTTTTATTTAACAATTATGTTAACAGGGTCCGGTTAGTTTTTGCAATAGATTGGAATTCAAGTATTCATTAATCTTTTTTTTGAAACGGTAAAAAATCCCTAGAATTTCCCTATTTCCCTAAAAGTCCCTAGAACTAGAAAACATCGTAAATTCTCCCTAGAACTAGGGAGAATTCCCTAGAAATGGCACCACTGCTCTATCCCCGCATTCGAGTCTCTGGGCTTTTCTTATACCGTCCACGGTTAGTGCTTTCTCTGACTGCGGACCACTGTCGTCAAAGTTTGAACTGTAGCAGATAGCAGCAGAATTTGGAGGCAGAATGGCATAATCCCATCTTCAGCGACGAATCGCGATTAGGTTTTGCAGTGGCCACCCCGTTCACCGGATTTAAATCCCATCGAACATGTGAGGGATATGATGGGGAGGAGACTATCCATATCCACTTTATGCCATCCGCCAGACCCTGTCAAAGCTAATGTACGAAATTTGAGTTGCTTGGGATGATGTGCCACAACCAGACATCGATCATCTCATTTTGTGTATTCAGCTATGGGTCGCCCGACACATTTTATTTTTTTTCTTATTACCTCATTGCCAAAAAATCAAGTTGAAGAAATAATTTTTTTTCTGGGTGTAACACTTCTAATGTTACTGAATATATGTCGCGATTATTGTACAATGCTTCCTCACAAATTAGCGAGGAAAGTGAAAATGTTTACTATTTTGTCAATACACCTTGCTGAAAAATTAAGTGGTGTGAATAAACGAATACAGTCTAGAATGAACAACCAACTGATAAGGGTGATGATAGAATAGACGGAAAACAAAATGTTAATTACTTGAATGGTGTTATCGTGTTTGTGATATGTGAACCTCGCTTAAAGTTGAAATCCCGGTGACTTCATAAATATGCCGTACACTGAATAATGTATTAAGTACACATTCTGGCACTGAAAAATTTGCAGCTTTTGTACACGGTGTTCCGAAAAACTGAACCAAATAGCAGTCCTATATTGCACTCAAAAAAATAATTAAATAGCCCGTGAAATGTCACTCTTTAATGAGACACAGTTTAATATTGAGCTCATGCAAACGTTATCTTACCTTAGAACTAAAGGAATAACTACCCCCCCTACTGAGCGAGGGCCGTGGCAAATGCTTGTTCCGGAAGTTGTTGTATCCAGTATACAACTTCTTCCCGTCCAAGTGATTGTGCACGCGTTAAGGAATACCTCAGTACCGATTGCCGGGTGGCGGTACAAGTCCGCCAACGGGCCACTTTAGGTCTATTTAACATCACTAACACGTAAAAAGAAGGTGGTAGACAAGGACCAGTCGACCGAGGCAGTACCACCCGCTAGCTTTTCCCAGGGTGTCTTATAAATGTCCGCATGTTTCCACACCTAAGCTATGCAGTCGGTTATCTACCAAAACAAAGAAATTAATGATGATGGATCCCTCGAGCACTAAAAACTCCGGACGTAAACTCACTCCACTCTCGGAATGTCCGGGTGGAGGGTGGGCTCGAGGGAACAACATCGAAGATAAAATTTGTTTTTCGAACATCTGCGGGATCAACAGCAACATTGATGCTGTTCATCACTACCTGCAATCCAATCGTCCCGCCGTGCTTTTCTTGGCGGAGACAAAAATCTCAGAGACTGCACCGATTAACCATCTCAACTTCCCAAACTACGAGGTGCACTCCAATCTGAGAAAGAACGGGGGAGTTGTGGCTTTTGTCCGCAGCAGTCTTTCCTGCTCCAGGGATCTTTCTTTGGAATCAGACCGGAAGGACATTCTGTGGCTTCGCCTCAACTCCAAAACATCACCCAAATTTATTTGCTGCCTTTATCGCTCTCCATCGAACCATAACTGGGATGACCTACTCGAATACCTCGCCGTCCAGATCGACTTCCTGAACATCAATCACCCCGCTTCAGAGGTAGTTCTTCTCGGTGATTTCAATGCCCATAATGAGCTTTGGTTGGGCTCAAATAAGACCGATGCAGCAGGTCGTGCAGTCGAAGCGTTCGCTCTTACTCAAGGGCTGACCCAGCTAGTGACGAGCCCTACTTTTTTCCCCCGCGTCTCGTCACACGCCAGTAGCCTGCTGGATCTCTTTCTGACCACGCATCCTGCCCCTTACAGCACTGCTGTCCTGTCCCCCCTGGGTAACTCAGATCACGGTGTTGTGGAGGTTAGGTTTCGGTCAGAAGCCGCTGTGGCAGCAGAAACTCGCACAGGCCGCAAAATTTGGCATTACGGATATGCCGACTGGGAGGGGCTCAGAGACTTCTTCTCTAGCTTTCCTTGGAGAGATGTCTGTTTCACTGACGCGGATGCGTCGACTGTCTGTTCTTCAATAACCGAAATTATCCACGTCGGAATGGAGGAATACATCCCTCACACAGTGAAAGTTCCTAAACCAGGGTCCAACGGCTGGTTCAACAAATCGTGTGACACTGCTCGCCAGCAGAAGATCAAGGCCCACAGAACCTACTTACAAAACCCCACTGTAGAGAACAGACAAGCCGACGTCGAGTCCAGAAACAAATATAACGAAGCGGTTCGGAATGCCAAAAACCAGCATGACATAAAAGTTAGGCACAGGGTAATGTCGCAGCGCAATGGCAGTCGGTCTTTCTGGACGCTGGCCAAGCAGATTGAAAAGAACTTCTCACACAGTAGCCTTCCACCACTTACGTGTCAGGATGGAACTATTGTATTCGACTCAACGGCCAAGGCGGAAGTGCTAGCCAAGATCTTTGCTGCCAACTCCACCATGGACGTCCCCACCAACGCCCAAGTGCCGTCAATTCAAAGGGTTCCCCACACTATGCGGGAGGTAACATTCAGGCATAAGACCGTAAGACGAGTGCTCTTGTCGCTCGACATCAACAAAGCTTCTGGTCCGGACTTGATTCCTGCCATTGTACTGAAGAGATGTGCAGCGGAGCTTGCTCCAGTTCTTTCGCGTCTCTTCCAGATATCTTATGAATCCGGCACCTTCCCAGAAAACTGGAAATTTGCTCATGTACAGCCCATCCCAAAAAAAGGATCTAAAACCGACCCTTACAACTACAGGCCTATAGCTCTGCTTTCTGTTATAAGTAAAGTGATGGAGAGGTGCATAAATCGCGAGCTTCTGGACTACCTCGAACGTCACAACTTGATTAGCGACAGGCAGTACGGTTTCCGGCACCAACGATCCACAGGGGACCTCCTAGCTTACGTCACGCAACTGTGGAGTAAACTCATCCAGTCTAATGGTGAGGCTCATGTCGTTGTTCTTGACATCACGAAAGCGTTCGATCAGCTGTGGCACGCTGCCCTCTTAAGCAAACTTCCATCCTACGGCCTCCCAGAAAAGCTTTGCAGATGGGTGGCTGACTTTATCTTTGGCCGCAAGATATCCGTCGTAATTGACGGATTCTCCTCTTCATCCCACAACGTCAACGCGGGTGTTCCCCAGGGATCGGTCTTGGCTCCAACACTGTTTCTCTTACATATCAACGACCTCCTTTCCTGCACGATCAACCCAATCCACAGCTTCGCTGATGACAGCACTCTACATGCAGGAATTCAGAGTGACAAGCCGATCTCTGCTGCTGAGCTGGAAAAAAGAAGACTAGCGACGACTTCTTCTCTGACAAGAGACCTGGAGGCTGTCACTGCTTGGGGACGCAACAATCTTGTACAGTTCAATGCTTCCAAAACACAGTACTGTACTTTGACGAACAAAAAGCGTCCTAGCGCTCATACAGTTTCGATGGACGGTCGAGTTCTACCAAAGAGCCATTCATTTCGGCTGGTCGGAGTCCAGATCACCGAGGACCTGATCTGGCACGAACACATCTCTTCAATAGCTGCAGCTGCTGGGAAAAAGCTAGGCTATTTGTTTAGGGCTAAGAAGTACTTTTCTCCGCATGACCTTCTCACTCTATACAAGGCCCAGATAAGGCCTAGCCTCGAGTATTGCTCACACATTTGGGGTGCTGCCGCCCCGACTACATTGTCCATGCTCGATGCTGTCCAGAGGAGGGCGGTCCGACTGATCGATGACTCTTCCCTAACAGACAGTCTCGGGACTCTTTCGCACCGGCGGGCCGTCGGCGATCTAGCTCTTTTCTATCGCTACACCAACGGGCTTTGCTCCTCAGAGCTCTCTTCCATGATGCCGCCGCGCGATGTGCCTGCCAGACAGACCCGCCTGACCTCGGCGTCCCATCCTAACCGTGTCAAACTTCGTACATCCAGAACTGGCCGATACGACCGCTCCTTTGTCCCGAGGGTGTCTAGATTGTGGAACAATCTACGGGAGGAAGCTTTTCCCAGTTCTACTAACCTTAGGCAGTTCAAAAATCGTATTAACAAAATTTCTTTGCGATCATCATAGCAGCCGCGGTGTTCCGGCATTTAGGCTTCTGCCTGCGCGGCTGTTTCGATATAAAAAAAAAAAAAAAAAAAAAAATAATAAAATACGACCTACACGCGCCTTATTAGTCCTGTCTTATACAACAATGCTGAAAAACCTTACACTGATTCTGCCTTATTATACAGGGTCCGTCAGAAAGAACGCATGTTTTTTAAATGAGTAGTACAGTCAAAATGAGTATGGGGAACATATTTTATTATATCAAAATACTCAGAAATATATGCCATTTTTTTGAGTAAAACAAAACTTTTTCTTCATCACATTACCTGTTGTGTTGAATGCTTCCACCCATTTCAAAATGGTGTTACGGTCTGGTACTCTCCCACGACGTGGAACACGAAAGTGAACGCGAAACTCACGTTGCGTTCGAACGACAAACTCGCCATTTTGAAAGTACCGACGTACAGTGAACACACGATGCTCAACGTTCCAAACAATCTTGCCAACAGAAACGGCACTTCTCCCACTATCCAACACGCCCTTCCCCACGGACACGAGACCAGCCCACTCGAGGTAGTACCCATTCGAAAAACATGCGTTCTTTCTGCCGGACCCTGTAGTTATTTCTCTGCTAAGATTATGAATGAACCCTGTAGTAGAGCGGATTGTATATACCGATTTTACAACGTGATCATATTCTTGGTGTTGAATGAAATCGTCCTTAATCTGGAGATACACAATTTTTTATGAAACGTCAAAGTTAGAAAAATCACTTCGCGTACGCCCTTGGAAAAATCAATACAGATACATACATAGT